CACGAAGTCCCCCATTTACTTGGTCATGTCTCAGCACAAGGGCAGGTGGGTGAGAAGGGCAAAGGCCTGGCCTGTCCAGAGTGGCTGGCTCTGAGGGACAAGCAGTCAGGCTTAGAAGTAGAGCCAGCAGACGTGTGAGTTTTGGGAGATTTCAGGCCAAGCCTGCACTGGGAATGGTTTCTGTGGTTTTGGCTCATGATTCCAACACAGCCAAGACAGAAGTAGTGCCCAACAAGCTGTGAACAGACCTCTAATGATGCATGCTGTTGCTTTCTTTGGTTAAAACTGTTCCATTTTTCAAGCCTACAATTCTAGGCAACTATCGCTTTATCTTAAAGCTTGATTAAGGCTGATCATGAGTAATCCGACACACGCTATGCATGTTATTCCTGAGGGGAACAAATGGATTATTCAAGGGCACACTGGGAAACTTTTGGAGAGTCTCAGTACTGAATATGTTGTTTGGCTTTTCAGGAACCTGCAGGCAGTCTGCCCACTGGCCTGGCAGGCAATTTGGGCAGACGAGCAACCCATTCTAGCAGGATTAGTCTGTATCTGTCCAGGAAGCAGTAAGAAAATGGGACATTATCCGAGACTCAAATTACTGGAAGTTTCTTTTGTACTGTTTGTGTACCCATTGCTATCCACTGCTGCCCCACTCCAGTGTTGAAGGTGACTGTTGTCCCAGGGAAGCAACAGAGGACGGTGATGGCTTGCTGAGCGCGTACCCACGAGCAGGGTACTCACAGGAACAGTGGTTGAGCACCAAGGTAGTGACAGGTTACCACTGGGAGGGACATCAAATTCTTGGTATGTTACTGATTTTCTGTACAATGGTACCTGACCTGTGAAGAATATGTAAACTCTGGATTTTTGTTCTGTTAGCTAAAGGCTTTTAATTTACTGCTTTCCTCACTGTGAGCCTCTGCAGATAAAATCTGCTTTTTTAGTTTTGGGTCTTGCACTTCCACAAGGATTTATGAAGTTTTGATACTTTAATACAATTCTGCATTAATTTTTTTGCAAGCGTCTCTACAACAAATTACATAGAAAAATAAAGCTTATTAAAAACCAGGTATCTCAAGAACAAAAACCTTATTGGGACATCCCTGGAAGCACCATCTCCCAGAAGCAAGAGAAGTCAACAGCAGCTTGGTGCCAAAGCATTAGCAGATGGATGACATTTGCCCCTATGAACTGGTTTGGCTGCCTCACTACAGTTCCTGCTTCATGACATAATCTTTCAAGAACAGAAACTATGAGAAACGCCAACTAGGCAAGTATTACTGGCAGCTGTGGACTGATTTACACTGGGAATGCACTGAAAACCACATGTGAAAGGATAGGAAGTCAACAGACTTCAGTGAAAAGGGTGTTACCTGTATCAGTGCCACTGGTATATAATCCCTGAAGACCTCAGATACGGTGTTGATGAAAGGATTGTTGTAAACGCCTCGTATCTCTCACCAAACCTGTCTTCTACTGAACAGAAAAAAAACACTGGTTATGGCACCGACAACTCTGCCATATGAGGCGAGCTGATCAAACTGTAGCCCATAGCTGCTTACGCAACAGGAGTGCAACAGAATGAGATGGGGATTTAATGTGAACACCTAATAGAGTACACACCATCTCCAGCTGAGGTACTGAAATACCTCACTCATGTTTATTGTTCAGCACTGTGCCCAGTGGAGGCCTGTTAGCACTGAATGGGAACAAATACATAGGACTGAATTGCTTAAACAGAGACTAGGAAAACGGAAATCACAGTGGAACCTAGAGAGAAAGAATGTCTTTTGGTGCTGTTAAGTCACTGCATCCCATTAGTGGAAAATCAGTGAACAGCACAAGTTGTGCAACATTAACAGCACTCCTCAGCTGCTGACAGCACAAGCTCAAGCATGGCGAGGAAAGCAATTACATCCCACATATACCTATGCAATCCCAGGTCCAAAAAGGTAAACATTACTGTTGTCACTCATGCTAGAATTGAGGAGGACATGCCTTTTAAAAAACAGATATAATCAGCTGCCAGCAAGACTGGCAACTTCTTGCCTATCACAAGCAGAAAGTCACAGGATCAGTAGTATGACCAGGACAGACTTCTGTAAGCAAACATTTGAAAATGCTTAAACTATGAAACAGAAAAAAAAGTATAAAACTAGTTTTAAACCAACGAAGTAGTGCTTTGTTAGTTTCATCAAAGCCTCACTTTTATGATTTTTAGCTTCTTCCCAACTTGCCCATTACTGCCACTTGCTAAATTGCAGTTCTAGCCAATACCTAGATTAAGGTTAGCACAGAATTTATGAACTGGAATGGGAACTGCTCCCTGTATCCCTGACCATGGCAGTAATTCCAGCTCTGACCAAGGAGCTCTCTAGGCTGGGAAAGCACGTACCTGTGTCTTCAGGGTGTGATTCCTTCTGCAGATGAGTTAAAACAGGACAAGAAGAGAGGCTATAAAAGTTCTAACAGAATTTAGGATGTGGGTGGTTTTTCTGTTGCGTGTGCAAACAGATGATGCACATGAGGATGTGGCACATCTCACTAACCCAACATGGGGAAGGAAGAACAGTTAATGCTAAAATACAACCTTTCACTAATCTGTGCTGAAAAAATAGCTCGTTATGCTGAAGAGTTGCAGCCAAGTTGCTAGCACTGCTCCAGAAACCTCAACCGACATTTACATTCTGTTGTCTTAGACTGTCCCCTAATGGCAAGGAACAAGCTCTTACTTGGGTTACCCTGACTGCTCCCCTCCCTCTGAAGCTGCTGCAAACCAGGGAACCCACAGAGCCCAAATTACCCAAGAGGGGAATCAGATATGCAGGTTTCTGCAAGAAGCAGAGCCTTCCTTCCCAATGATCTTTCTGAACAACTCTTGTTCCAGCACCACCACACTACCAGGCCAACATGTTGAGCTGTGCTACTTCTGCATCTCTGGTGTACTTCTGGCATTAGGACTACTTTTAATTTTTTTAACAGAATTGAACTGCACGACCTGGATCACTAACAGGCCTAGCTCACACATGACTCAAGACATTTTTATCCCAGCCTGATTCTTGTAGATTACTGAAGCTTACTACTTACTTTAAAATAACTACTGGCTTTATCTACCACACCTCCTAGAGCAATCTAAACAGAACAAACAACGGCAGGTTTCTTTCTGTTCTGTCCCCCTTCCTTCTGATATAGATCAACAGTCAGCACTCCTTCACTCAGCCCTGGCTTTCTCCCACTACTGGTGAAAGAATTATTTCCTATGAATTACTTCTTAATAGAGCCTAATTCTCACTTTCTTCCTCCTGGGGATTTGTTTCTTTCTTTCTTGGGAACCTCTTGGAAAAAAAAAGAAAACAAACCATGTTCTTGCTTTGACCACCTTTTCTAATAAAATGAGCAATGGATTTGTCAATCCTATTCAAATGCCAGTAAGCCCCCCACACTCACTCCTCAAGACACACTCATGGGAAACAAAGTTAAACTTCGGACTATTTCCCATAGCAAGCTATCGCATGCAAAAAAAGTAGAAAATGCAACCAGCAATGTACACAGCCTTAATCTGCACCACTTTCATCAGTTTGGACTCGCTTCAGAATGAGCATATTTGCAGTTTTAGCTGAGAGCTTACCCAGCCTGCTTCCATCACCACTTTTCCTGCACCAGCAGTCTTTCATCGACTGTAGATAATATTTTTGTGGTGGTTTTTTTTTTCCTCCTGTATGGACTAATCCACCTGTATTAAGCTATACCCTGTGGACAACCTGTATTTCTGGAATCCCCTTCTCCAGTTGTTCATTCTGCAATTTGCATCTGGCAGTATCTCACAGCTAAGTTTTCAGAGAACTCTCGCCAAATTTAGGACAGTCCATTT